TTTTTTATACATTTGTCATGTATGAAAAAAAGGGAACTTTCGAAACAACTGAAATTTTGTTTATTTGTTCATTAACTATACTTTCAGACGAAGGGTACAAAAACGAGATGGCTCAATTTGTTGAAAAAATGAGTGAGATGACAGCTGATATTCACGATGGAAATATTCCAGACGATGAACCACTTTCCAGTCCTGATATTTCCCAACCATCTGACCAATCAGAAACAGGGACTTTTGTTCGACATGGCGATACTGATTCTGAGTCAAGCTCAATTAAAGATGATGTTCATGAACTTCCTGAGACGGAGGAGATGAAAGTTCCTTCTCAGAGAATTAAAGTGGAATACGATGCTCCATATATGGCAATGGAGGACACAATAAGCCAATCAGAGGAGGTGCCTGAATATATCTCACCTGAGCTAAATACTGAATCGAATACCGAAGATGACAAGCCTGTGGAAATCCCTGTTCAGCACACGAGGAATGAAGATGATGAAGATGTCAAACCCAAACCAGTGATTGAAATCGAAACATCTGAAAGTGATGCTGATTCAATAAAAGAGGCCCAGAAAGAGGTCGACGCAGCAGATAAAAAGAAAAATAAATCAAAAGCCCTTCTACAGGAAATCTCTGGCAATGTCAGTGGGAAGGCAAAAGAGACTGGAAAAGAAGACGAAAATATCAAAAAATCCAAACCAGTAGACTACCCCCAGCAAGGTGAAGGAGAGGCAGACACCATGCTAGAAGAGAAATCCATATCTCAGATTGCTCTCCCTGCAGTGAAAACCTCAGTTAATAAAAAGCAAAAGGAAGAGCCTGCTAAGCAACCCAATGTTGCTCAGCATTCGGACCCTCTGAAAGCTGAGTTAGCACAAGCAGTCGTTAAAAAAGCTGAACCAAAACGAAGGGCAAACCAGGATGACTTTGAATACAAAAACCCATGGATTGGCCCGCGTATGGGAAAAACTGAATTCATTGTGCCCAAAAGTGCCCCACGCAAAGCACCTGCTAGTCAGCCTGTCGTAATTGACGCCCCACCACCAGTAGTCAATAGTCAACCCAAAGTTATTCAGCGCCGTAGCCTGCAGGAAATATACGGTAGCCAGGTGGCCGCCATACCAGGACCAGTGCCTCCACCTGTTGAGGAAAAGACTGAGAAGTCATCTGAAGAAGAGACCCAGAAGGAACAGGAGAAGGATGCTGCCTCTGGAGATAATACCCCATCAGAGACCCCGAAAGAAGAGTTTATTATTGAAAAAGAAGATTATTATGTGAACAAGATGCCATCACCAGGGGTGAGTATGGGGGAGGGGCTGGATTTCGCAGTGTTTTTCGAATCTAGTTTGTGCCCTAGATAGATTACTAGTCTTTAAGGCCAGGATTTATAACTTCATTGGTCCAAAGCATTAAGGATGGCCAGCAACTGAACAAGTCAACAAAATGTCTCTTATCCCACTATAAACAATATATTACTAAAATAATTCCCGTTTTTTCCAAGATGTCCATCATGAATTGTGTTCAGGTTGGCTATCATTCTAAAAAAAAAAAAAAAAAAAGATATACAGATAACAAAAGTGGTATAAAATTTATAAAGTTCACTATAAATAAATCAATTTGTACGTTGTCTTCAGACAATCCGTGCAGTTCCAGTCAAAGTAGAGACGGACAGCGAGCTGGAGACTACAGACATGGACACCCCAGATCCCAGCCCACGCCCCACCTCACCCTCTTTACTAGGGGGTGCTGATGGCCTCAAGACAGAGAAAGAATGGCTGCAGGTAGGTTGAGAATACTTGTGAACATATTAATTTTTTATATGCCTGATTTGCAGTGTTGTTTTCTTTTGTGTAACATTTGTGATTACTTCTGTATTCAGTGTGATACTGGACCACCCATAAATTCCAATTTTGTATTACTCCTATATTTTTGAGATCGGATATGATAGATGAACTTTTCTTCTGTGTATCTTTCCAAGGAGGTAGATAAAAAGTTAAGAGAACAACGACAGTTACAGGGACAGTATGAACAGTTACAGCAACAGTTTGGACTATGGCAAGCCCAGCTCATGCAGAACCAGGTAAATATCTTGTTTGTCTGTTAGTTTGTTTGTTTGATTGATTGATTGTTTGTTTGTTTGTCTGTTTTAATTCAGGATATGTTTGTAGTCATACGCTAAAATAATAATGAAATTAAATTAGATAATATCAAATAAAATAATATTATATAAAACAGGTCCAACAGTCTATTATGTTCTATTATTGAGTCAAACTAAAACATTTTGGTCTTGTAGCTAAGACCTATTTGTTTATGTTTGTGTGTTAAACCAGTCCTAGACAGGTTTACTAGAGAGCTGTCCAGTTTGTGTCCAGTCTGGACATTGACTGATAATGATTGTGTGAGCACCTGGCCACATAGTGGTCACTTCAAGCCACCTGAGAGCTTAAGACATGCAATAGGCATATTAACCCTGCCCTAGATGTCATTCAAAGGCCAGTTTCCAGTAGAGATTTACGTTTCAGCTGGATGTCTAGTTACAACTAGCTCATATTAAGCAAGAAATCTTATCCTTCTGCTGCTCCCACTATCGTCTATGATTGAGGAAAGTTGCGTGATATTTAATTGACCATGCATGATAAGCTTATCATAATGGTTCATTGTTAGGTGGGTTCAAGTCCACTGGAAATGGGTCTTAAATTGTACCATGTTGTTTATGTAGCCAGATATGTTAACAGTCACACTTTTGATTTCAACATTGAGTTGTACACGTGGCAGTGAAGATGTCCTGGTGACTACACTGTTTCTTCTGCTAGAGTAAGTTTAACTAATAGCCATGTTAAACAATGATTTTGAGCATGACTGTTCTTGATAATGTACTTCAATATGGTGTGAGTTCAAGCAGGAAATCTGTTTGTTATCAGTTTAGCAGGTGGTATGGTTGACTTTATAAGACCATACACATACAATTATGTGTGCATGTAGTAACTCAGTATTACACTTTACGTTTTCATATTTCATTTACATGTGTGTATTTGTCGTTTACTTTAGGCAATCTTGGAAGAAAAGAAAATAGTGCAGGCAGGATCTCTTCAAGAACAGATGCAGATGCACCTGCAGAGGATGGCAATGTTACGTGAAAGCATGGAAGTCTTTAGCAACGCTATCTCAGAGTCAGAAAAGATGGCGGCTGCAGCACGTGCGAGAGAACAAGGACAGGGGGCCCCAGCTTCAGAGACAGTTGCTGCCAGTGAAGCAAAAACAGTTGAAGCTGAGGCTACTGTCACAAAACCAAAGCTGGAGAGGTAACGTGGATTTTTTTTCCTCTCTATATTAAGGCAAAATAACAAATTTTAGATCAGATTAGTATGGAACTTTTTTTTACTTACAAGAGTTATGTGTGATTTGATACTAGTGTCCATTTTTATTCGGATGTCATTTCATACTCTCCCTGAACGACCTTTTTTGTTATAAATATATATTATTTATAGAAACTAATTCTGCAAATCTAATACCATGACTTTCTGATATCTGTTTTCACTTTACCTTTTCATAAATATTCGTCATAAAATTCTGACTATCTCCTGTCCCAGGTCCTCCAGTATCACCAGCACTATTCCCCGCGGCTATGGAGCCAAGTTGGACCGCCAGTCTAGCTTTACACAAGTTCGAGACATCAAGGCGGAATTAGGGACTTCAGCTTCGTACAATACACAGAAGTCACAGGAGGATACTTCAAGGTAGGTTTTTGTCAGGTGTTTTTGATTGTCATCTTTTGTATAATGGTTGTATTGACATTTGTATACTTATTGGTATACTAAATACAGCATGTGTAGTTACTTGAATGTGTACAAAATGTTTTCAGACCTTTGCTGGGGAATGACTCGCTGTACACTGCTGTCTCATCACTTATCAAAATCAATTTTATTTCATTTGTTAATCATTTTCATTTGGCTATGGAAAAAAATTTTAAGAATAAGAATCCCACTTTGTTAAAGCCTTGCAGAATCAATTCACAAGTCAAAGGACCTATTTTACTATTGAAAAAATATTTTCAGGGAAAATATTGACTTTCTTTGGAAACACCTGAAGGACTGCCCCACACACTCACCCAGTCACCCAAAGTTTTTTTTTTTTTTTTTTCAAAGTTATTAAAATTTGGCAAATTATGGCTGCATGCCATACATAGCATGGTTTTGTCTTAATTATCTTCCTTGCAATTGCTGCCTTCTTAAAGAATGATGCATAACCGCATGTTTATCCATCTATTCATCTAGGTCTGCAGCTCTCCCAAAACCATACTCGTCTCCTCGGTCTTCCATGATATCCACTGTACCCCCGCCTGTGGCGCCACCTGCTCCTGCGTCTGCCCCACCACCACCGCCTCCTCCGCCACCACCTTCCAACCAAGTGCCAAACGGCTCCATCAAATCAGCCGCTAACGGACCTGTGAAACCAACATCCAATGGACAGGCCAAACCACCAGCATCCGACGACACCTTCAAACTGCCTGATGCATCTGAAATGACAGCGCTGAAGGTCAACTTGAAACCAGCCAATCAGAGGCCACCATCGAAGCGTTTTGAACCCCAACTGGACCCCCATGAGGAGCTTATGATCGCCATTCGTAATGCTGGAGGGCGTAATAATCTACGGAAGGTCAGCTATAAGCCTAAATAATCCCCAATCCTACCACCATGTTATCTATATGGAGGCTTTGACGTAAGATATATCAGTGTACAACGATGTGGTTTGAAGTGAACCTAGTTAGTGTAGAAACTTATGGCTAGGACCTTAGATGGTGTTCCAGTATTAACTAGACTTCCTACTACACTTCCAATAAAAAAAAACATGGCCTGGTTTTATTCTTTATAACTCATTAATAGTTGTAACATTTTTATCATTTTCGGAAAAGGTTACTGTCTGGCTTTTTGATTTATTTCGTTTTATTTATTTATTTTTTTCGTTTTGCATTACTACACATGTTTGATATGATGTTTGGCACTTTTGAGAATGTTTTTGCTTGCCTTTGATTTTGTTTTTGCCCTTGGTTTCTATGTTGTCTTTTGCATTTAATTCCATTTACTGGTAACCTTTTTTACTTCATTTCTAATATTTTAATTGTTTTATTTTCTTTTTATTCAATTGATTGTTTTTGGACAGAGTTGTGTGATTTTTAAGTTCATTCCTTTGTGTTTTGATTTTTGTTTGCATCGATTTATATTCTTTGGTGTTTAAAAATGTTAAATTGTTACATGCTATCTCCATGATTAAACAATTTTGCTTAATAACTTTTAGATTCATTTGATTATGCATGTGTTTTAAAGCATATATAATTGGCTTATAAAATGTTATTTGATACTCCACATGTGCTTTATATAATTCATTTTGGTTACATGTTTTCTAAGAAACCTACAGCAGTACATTTTATAGTCTACACAGAGCTTTAACTAACCTGTCACCACCACCACCGCCAGCTCCACCTAGCTGTATACCTTTTGTTTGACTATGCAACTTGTGCATTGCATTAATTGTCTTCTTTGTCATTTTTAGGTCACAGTGAAGGAGACACATTGGAGCAAAAGCACTGCAGGGCCATCTTAATTGAAAATAGCAGCATGACATCACTGGATTTGTGACACAGGGATTTCAAGCTGACAAGAAAATTGCATTGTGGAAATAAATTCTAACTGGCAAGAAAAATGGCATGAAAATGTGTGTAATTGAAGATGTGATTAAAAATACTTCAGGAAGTTATGTCAGAAAATGCATTATTCAAGATTTCACAGAAAGAAACAGGAAATGCATGAAAAGATATTATATTTGTTCACATAACCCATTATACCATTACTTTCTGACACAGTTGGTGGCTGATTTTCCGTTGGAAGGAAGATTTCTGGCTGTGGGAATATTGGCTTTGGCGAGGCAATACTGGCCAGGTTATTCTGCACGTCTTACTTCCAGTGTACAGGAACTGTGAAGGCCAAGAGACAAAACTTCAATCTTTTTACTGGGAAACCGAGAACCAGGAAAATGATATTCTGAGTAATATTGAGAGTATGGAGAGTAATATCGTACCACAATGACTAAACATGCTGTCAGAAATGATATTGCGCCACAAGGAGTATATAACTGTTCACCAGTTGTGCTTTGAATTTGACGCTGTCAGCATCCACTGGGTATATGTGATAGTTAAACTGGGTTCCTAATATAAACTTCATATAATATGTATGCAGTCGGAGACGTCAAAAACGTAATATATATATATATATCCAATATGGATGCTACCAGTCATGTGATCTGAAAAAGTCATGTGATCTATGGAAGTCATTTGACACCTTCTAGGAAGGTGCACAACACCTCATCTTTTTTCCTGCAAAATCTTATATATACAGATTTTTCCCTCACCTCTTTAATTATATCGTATTATATTAATTGATAGTGGTCAGTTACCTAAAAGACTGATTCAGAATTGATGTCTGATTGTTGAGATCTGAGATGGGGAAAGGAGTGGAGTGAGAACAAAGATGATATGTGATAATATAGTGTAATCTTCCAGTAGGACATAGATTGTATTGTATTGTATTGTATATACTATCTATACCACATAGGCCAGACTTAGTAATAGTTGTCTTTTTCTCTTTCAAAGGAGTAATCAAAATACATTGCTGTATATTAATTGCATGCATCACATAAAAGATATTGTGAGTCAGTAGTTTATTAGACTCTCCTATTTCCAATTCATGTACCAGTGGATGAAGTATGCCTTACCTTATTCTATAAAGGTGCTAAGAAAGAATTGAAACATATCTAGGGCTAAAGGGTTGGGGGGAGGGGTCACCCAATTTTGAAATATTTCAGTTGATTTGTATCTGTTTGAAAATGGGGACTAAATGTGATGCAGAGAATTGGTTGTGATTTTATGTGAGATTGTGAACAGGAAATTAGTTTATCAACAGTAGATCTTTATATAATCTTTATTTATTTTTTTAATCCGTGTTTTCAGCAAGGTTTACTTCTTCAGCAGATAAGATTTAGTGGTGAAATATTCAGACCCTTGTTCACTTTGATCCAGTCTGTTGTTATAATCTATAAATGAAATAACACCAGTGCCTTATCTTTCATACACTTAATTAATCCCCGTAAATCAAACAATTTTTATATGCTATACTGGATGTAGCAAGATAAGTTGATTTTAGAGACATATATAAGATGTGTTAGGTGTGAAAGAACTGGTTGTGACATTGCGACATAGTTGACACCTCCTCCCCCCCCCTCCCCCAACAACAGCTAGGCTATTAAGGGGTCTTATTTCTTTTGCACACTGTACTCTTAAAAGTACATGCTTCATTGTAAACTACAAAATTGGTCACTGAAGAGTGCTGTTTAAAAGGTTTCAAACAGTGGAGAAACAGTTTTTCAGTTCATATACTGTGAGGTCCTTAGTAGAAATTGTATTTAAGAAGCTTCCATTTTATTGATAAGAATTTTTCATTCCAAAAGTTAGAGAAATTTGAAATAATTTAATGTTTAAATGTGTCATTTTGTAAGATAGAATATTTTTAAATATTGATTTTGATACAGAAACTCCCCTAACTGCCATAAAAGCAGGGCTTACTAGATAGATATTTGTAGGGTGCTGTAGAAATTTACAATCTAATCTTTTTTTTTTTTTCACTTTTACAAAGAGTCAGAAAAATTCCATGCACGAGATTGAAAGTCAAGGTTGTGAAGGGTCTTTTCTTGAGCAGAGCCACCTTGTGTTGAAGGCATTATTTGCCGTATTTCCATTGACATGAGCATCCAGATAAATTGTATATATTATAAATATAATACAGAAATTTCCGTTATGTATGTGTATGTTAGTGCTATGTACTAATTTATCTTAGCATGTTGCTGTAACTGGTAGCTCTAGTTAGTCCTGATAATCGATTATAAATTATATTTGTTTATTTCAATATAACGAGTTAATAACAATGTGTATATAATTATGAAAAATGTGAAAAGAATTAAATAAGGAACCCTATATTTCTCACTAAGTAGAAGTGAACGTCGGTGCAAGTTAACATAGTTATGACGCACAGTGACGTCACAAGTTGTATAAATCACACAAGAGACTGCACTGTTGCTTTATGTAACGTTAGACTATGAGAATTCCGACAAATATTGTATTATCCCCAGGTTGTGGAACTATGTAGCCTCAACATAACTTAAAATTGATGGTAGACTAGAAAATTAAAGGAGTTATCAGTACAAGATTTTGTTTGTAAAGGCTCGTTATTTTATTTATTTATTTATTTGGCTTTTTCCCTTTAATTGTTACCGATATTACCACCCGGCAATCTAGAGCAATGTAGTCCATTATCAGAGAGCAGATGTGACGATATAATCATTTTTGGAAAGAAGGCAACATTAAAAGAATTCGAATGTCACGACCATGAGCATTTATATGGTATTTTTTTAATGAGATAATAGTCCTCAACTATGCAAACACGTGGTACAAGTATAAAAAAAACGGTATTCCTTTTGATTGCAGCAGGAGGAAAACCTCAGAACTGGAAATTCATTCATTTGTTGGGACAGAGTAGCACAATTCAAGATGGCGACTGTCACGTCTGATACTCCTGTCACGTAGCAACTTCAAACGAGCCGCACGTTCAAAAGTAGAAAACGATAGTTACATAAGGGCAAAAAAAAGGAGGAGTTGAATGATTTATCAAATTTCATGATAGTCTACCATTTGTATGTATAGTAACACTTATTACCATTATAATGTGATATTGCATCGTATTTTATATCATTCTGTTATACATAAGACCCATTAACTGTAACATTGTTGGTTATATCATTAAATTGAATATATTCGAAAAGATTGTTGTTTCACTTTATTTTTCAAGGTGCCAACATTGATACGTAATAAAAGCGCAAAATAAAAGAAAATGAAGATGAAAGAAAACGTATTACCAATAATTATACTTTATATTTTAATATAAAATTAAAATTCGTAAAGAGTCTTTCTAATTTTATACTTTTGGGCGTATTTGCTTCACAGTGCGATTTTATATATAGCGACGGAAGAGAGAGTTCATGGCTACTGTTTGCTATATAAACGAGGGAATATCGAAAAAAATTTAGCTTCAAACAGAAAGTTTATTTATTTGGTTTTTTATTCATTCATTTAGTTGTTTGTTAATTTATAAAAAAGCAGTTCAGAATTAATTTGAAAGGAAAAAGCTCGTAGTTCATCATTTAATTATTTATTTATAGGTGCCGTTTGTCGACGCATAGCAACAGTGCCGCGATGCACATATTACTAAACATTCGCATCCCGACAGTTATAACACACAAACACAGAGAGAGAGAGAAACACACACACACAAGCGCGAGCATTATGTTAGTAACTGTGTTTATTTGTATTGAAACTGTTTCAATCTCATCATCACAGAATCAAACACAGAAACAAAATTGCACAACAGAAAAAGTAGTGTAGTTTTTAGAGCCAGTCAGCGGCCTCCTTCTTCGCGTTTGTTGACAGCGAAGGACTTGGCGCTCTCCTGCGAGTCGAGAACATCGTCTAGGGAACGCCGTTCTGGAAAATAAGATTTGGTTTTTAATTTATTCATTTTATTTTATTTAAAAATCGAAACCCCAAATAAGGCTTGTTGTGTTTATTTTCTCAACAATATTGTATTTTATCTTATTTTAACTATCCTTTAAGTTGTCGTTATCATTTATGTCTTTTTACCCTTGTTATCTGTTTTATTATTATTACAATTATTATGCGTATTTTTACAGAAATTTCAAATGTAGATTGCTATCAAAAGTAAATAGAGAAAGGGAAAGAGAGAGGGTGAGGTGGAATTAAAGAATTCGAAGCCACTCAAAAGTTTCCCTATCCGTCTAGAATGTAGAAGAAATCGCTCATTTCTGCACTGCCAAATTTAAATGAAGAAGTCGGATGAATTCTCAAATTCTCCTGAAGCTGCTGTAATATTCATAGGTATTTGTTAGACATAAAACGATTGTGTCACGGCACCGCTGACGCATTTGACCATGACATATCTGAGGCATGGGGGAATATATCCGTTAGTAGACTGCTAGCTTACCTTTAGAAGACACGTGCAGCCCACCAGGATATGTCTCATGGAGCTTGAAGTCGGATTCACGCAGATCGGCCTCAGAGGGAGTACCTACAAAGCAGATTGTTAGATAATATTATATCGTATTACAGGGTGGTTTTCGTGAAATTTCGATGACTCGCTTAGGTCTTTGGTAAATCAAGTAGTTGTACATATATTCAATAACTTTTCGAAATAGGGGGTGGGACGGTTTTTCTAAAAACTGTTGCGATGCAAAAAGACTTACGTCTCGATATGAAACGAGATTTAGGCTTCATTTTACATCTACCATGGTGCTAATAATCTTTGCTCTATTCCCAGGCACCTATTGCAAAAAAGTATATGCCGAATCTGTTTCCCTAGCGTCCACTAAAAGACGAACGGCCAGACTTCTGTTGGCCATGATATACTCACAATAAATGGCAATCACCAGGAACAAGCAAGCTGCGACGAAGATACCCTTCTCCATGGTAAATGTGAGACGATCACTACCCCAAGAATGTAGATTTGCTGCACGGTCCTCTTTATATAGTGCGGTCGTCATTATATGTCATTTTATTTTATTGGTGAAGATTGCTGCAATCAATGATGGCAATATTAATATTGCTAAATTACAAATCATTTTATGCCTTTCAGAAAACACATCAATAGCAAATAATCCCTGGCTTTGGGAAATTGTCATCTCTTTATATTTTTTCAAAATTGTCTGCACTTTTTTTTTTTTTTTTTTTTTTTTTTTTTTTTTNTATGTTTTTTTTTTTTTTTTTTTGTAAATTGACTAGTACTGCGCTTCAGGGAGAATCCCCGCAGAGACAGTACGCTCCTGCTGGTACGATAACTTAATTTTGAACACTCCCAATGGGATGGGGTCTTTAGTCTACTTTCTTGGCCATTAGCCTCTTTTCAGGGGTACATGTACCTTGAAAGACTAAATTACTTTCAGCTGGACCAGGATAAATGTTGAGAACGACTTTACCATTTATTCCACCTTCCATGATACTACACGATAAGCGAAGACTGTTCGGCAGTTTTAGTGACATAAATTGTTTTTCATTAATGGTTGATTAATAAAAATCGATGACATTTTTTGCGCTTGTTCTACAATAAGCCCATTTTATTCCTTCATTATTTATCTTTGAACGCAACAAATTGCAAGGTCCAATTTACCAGGTAAAATAAATTAATTCCTTCATATCTCTGTTCAAATTACGCAACAGATTCAGCAATCATAGAATTTTGGTGAATCATCATAACACTGATAATTACATCAAAACAGACATAAAAACTGGCATAAAACATTACGAGGGATAGATAGGTAAATGAATAACATCTAAAAAGTTTCATTAACGTGATCGATGTCAATTGTGCCTGCTCTGTAGAATGAACATAATCACAATCCACTTTTTTTGCCTTTAAATTGAGTGCTTTACCGAGAAAATACATCTTTTTTCTCTGTACCCTTTTTCCTCTTTCACATGAAATAATTATGAAATGAAACGCCAAAAGTCAATTGAAATTGTCTTTTTACGATGAACATAAAAATAATTACAGAAGATTCCTCGAAGTTCAGATACGAAGTCAAAGCGAACAGTTGCTTTGCTGGTAAGCCAACTCTGGTTAGCCAACGATCTCGATGATTGTTTGCCTTCCCTTCAGACGAAAAGAGTCCTCCCGGGCAGCCTCATATTATTATTATTATTATTATTATTATTATTATATGAGCGAGTGAGACAGTAATTCGGATAATAGAACTTAGAAAAGGAAAGCATGTCAGTATGTCTTGATCCATCAGCTGGATCGTGGTCAAAAGACGATAAAATAGCACAAATAAGACAGCTTAGAAAAAACGCAGTTGGTATCCTCAAACTTGGTAATTCCAGTTGAAAGCCGTCATATAATGAAACGGGGTAAAATAAAAAAAGTCATATTGAAGCTATGGCTTGCGGTTTATTTCAAGATGGAGGGGTGGGGGTCGCCTAAAATTGAAAATCAATTCTGCATTGGTTCCAAGTGATAATTCCCCTCATTTCGTGAGCAAGTCCGCAAGAACAAGTGACCGCTTGAAAAAGGACTAATATAGTAAATCACTTGAATAAACAACCTCTGAGGATGGGGGAAGGTATTGAGGGTTCCAGAGGTGCAGCAAAAATTAAAGCTGAAATTTTGAAATCGTCTATCACTGGGTCATTCCGGGAGTGTGGATGCAATCGTTGGGCAGTCAAGACTTGAATCAAATGGCTGATGACGTACCCATCGGGCTATACTCTTCGGGTTGCGTCTCTAGTGGAACATCGGAGATTTTTGAACATCTAAAAGTGGCGTCTGAATAATCTAAAGGGAATCTGGATAAATTTCAGAAAACAAAGATTAATTCTGTCTGAATTTGAACATGCCTTTGCTAAAGACGAGTTTGATCTTGGTCGGTCTAATTCTCTTGAATATGATTTGTTACAACAAGTGCTAAACCTCTTAAAACGCGCACGTGTATATGTGGCGGACGCCCTCGTGTTTCGTGCAGAAAGAGAAAGCATAGTATACAAAAAATGTTAAAAGCCGGGATCATGCAACACTGACCAGAGTTAACATCTCTGAAGGCATTATCACCAGTGTCAGATAAGAAAATGTGACGGTTATCGATTAATGTGTGTTGAACAACGAAAAAAAGATACATGTATCCGTCGCCTATCCATACACATACACACACACACACACACACACAAGCGGGAGCATATGTTAGTCACTGTGTTTATTTTAATTGAATTTGATTAAATAATCACAAAATCAAACACAGAAACAAAATTACACAACAGATAAAGTTGTGTAATTCTCAGAGCCAATCAGCGGCCATCTTCCTTCCGTTTGTTGACAGCGAAGGACTTGGCGCTCTCCTGGGAGTTGAGAACATCGTCAAGGGAACGCCGCTCTGGAAAATGAATTAGTTCTCAGATATAGTTATTAAATCTGATAAAATAAATAAAGCCATCTTCAGGGTTCGTTTTGTTAACTTCATTATCATGTTTCTACTTTATTTTTTTTTAAACGGAATTTCAATTGTAGATTGGTGACGAGAGAGAGAGAGAGAGAGGAGAGATGCGTAAGAGGAAAAACTCGAAAAATCTCCTTTAATCTAGAAGGAGACGCTTATTTCTACATTGCCTTATTAAAATGAAGTAGAAGGATGTACTTCTTGGTGCTCCAACCTTCAATAAATGAAACGTTTTATTCGTACATGGACCAAGAGATCAACTGTAATTTCCCGTGGTATTATTGGTAAAGCACTTTGCAGCAGACATAAATAGTATGTGTTGCAGAACCGTTAACATACTCGACCATAAGGTTCACTTAGCATACTGGCAGTTTTTACCTTTAGAAGCCGCGTCCAAGGCACGGACCTTGAATGGGAGTTCGTCACCCATCTTAGTCATCCTAGCCTCAGAGAGAGAGCCTGAAATTTCCATGACAATGAAAACAGTATCGTTTTCGTATTACTGAGAATTTTTCGTATAATTTCGCTCCGTGTGTTCGATTTTCGACACTGTCCAAAATTTTAGACTTGTACTAATTATCACAGACATTTTCCTTAAACTGTGACGGCCATGATCAAAGTAGGCAATGACAGACGTTAGAAACGCTTAGGCCATTTTTCATATCGAGGAGTACAGCTTACTGCATTGCACAAGTTTGGGTCTTACATGCAGTCTAGTAAATACGAACAGTCAAACTGTTAAGTTTCATGCTATATAAGTATACTCACAGTACGTGGCAATCACCAGGAACAAGCACGCTGCGACGAAAATTCTTTTCTCCATGGTAAATGTGAGACGATCACTACACCAAGAATGTAGACTTGCTGCACAATACTCTTTATATAGTGTGGTCGTCATTATGTGTCATTTGACTTGATTGACGAAGACTGTTGCAATCACTGAAGCCAGTATTGCTAAATTACAATTCATTTGATTTTTTCCATAAACAAAAAAGACGTCAATCGCAGATTATGTCTCGATTTGGGAAAATATTATCTGTGGCCCTGGTCGAGAATACCCTGGAATAGCCAACAAGCTGTACCCTGCGTTCCACTTGTCTAAAAAGGCAAATCTGAGGACGTGTTTCATTTTCGTTTATTTATTTATTTATTTATTTATTTATTTATTTATTTTACAGCGCCCCTTGCTGCAGGAACACATAGTCTACAGTCTACTACGTGGGTATCTAGGAAAACAAGATTACCTTCAGCTGGAACTACCCTAGGTTCTAGATTTTGGTATTGCCAGCTCGATCTTGTTTTCATGTATAACCCTCATCAGCACTGTAAAGCTAACACATGAAAAGGTATAGTGACAAAGCTACTGTAGGTTTATAGTGCCTAAATACTCAGGGTAGCTGGAACGAAACCCTGGGTAAAAGTTCAGGACAACTTTATTAATTTATTCCACCTTGCATGATACTGCACGATAACTGCACAATTGGACGATGTTTTCATTAATATAATATTTTTGTAATGAGTGGCTGATTAAGAAAATGGTTATGGTATTTTTTCGTGCTTTTTCTGCAATTTGTAATCTATTTTATTCCTTCATTATTGATCTTTGAACGCAGCAAATTGCAAAGTACAAAGTCCCAGTGAATAATAAATCCGTTCCTTCGTTTATATTTTCAAATTACGCAACAAAAATGAATAATCATACAATAAATATAATTTGGGTGAATCATAATAGCACTGTTCATTACATCAATAGCAGACATCGTCAATTATATAAAAACATTACGAGAGATAGATAGGTAAGTAAATAATAGTTTTTAAAAGCTTAATTATCATGAATGATGTCAATTGTACGTGCTTTGTAGAAATGTACATGTTCACTGTCCACCGTGAAATTGCGTCTTTCACCATTTTTCTTCGTACCCTTCTACACCTTCAAATGAATTGATCATGGAATTATTTGTTAAAAGTAGAATACAATCGTCTGTCCAGGATGAACAAAAAAAAAAAAAAATAATAATAATAATAAATTAATTAATTAATAATTGCACGAGGTTCAGATACTAAGTCAAAGCGATGTGTCGCGCTGCTGGTGTACCAACCATTTCAACGTGTGTGTTGGGACGACTTCGATTTCTGATGCTTGGTTATTTTGCTTCGGCCTTTCGATGTACAGTTAATGTTGCTCCAATTATACATACTATATGTTGGATAATCTGCTTGACATTCGTAGCGAGCAAAGGGCAATATTTTATAACAAAAATATGTATCTTTAAATCATTCTGATTTCAACATTACAACAAATTAATATTTCCAGTATAGGGATTAATTTTATAATGCTGTATTAATTTAATTAAAAAAAAAGATCACTCAAGGCAAAGCACATGTAGTTAACCCTGACGGTGCACAAGTCAGGGGCGATTTTTGGAAGCTGAAATCTTATCTTAAATAATGTTAACCTTAACGATAACATTGCTTGTAAGACCGGACTAATACAGTCAGTAAAGGTAGCTTGTCGTTGAAGTTAAACCTGACCGACCCCAATATAAAGATTCCTTCAAGCAAACATGCTCGCAGACAGTGGCATAGGTTAACTTTACCTGTGCCATATTGAATTTGATTTGAATATTACTAATTTATTTACTGAAAACAGGCGTAGACCCTAATATAACACATATGCCAATACCTACAGACTACAGTTTTTTCTGATATCCTGTTCTCTTCAGTTGTTGCTTACATTCCCTCTTCCATCACTAATTTCTTACTGTAATCCTTTTTAAATTGAATTTAAGAAAACAGACTGAAACAAAGTCGCTGCACGGTTCGCTTGCCAGGTAGCAACTGTGCGTATGACAGAGACATGGTTCATGTAAAGTGACGTCAACCCCACTTCCTGCCGAACCTGCGTGCACAATGTTGTCAATTTCAAATCCCTAAAGCAAGTTGTCCCTGGAAAAATTTTAGTCACTCTTCCTACATGTAGGTCTTGACCTTGTTTTGCACTAAGGTCACTCAAACATTGAAATGAATACTGCATTGTCATCTACTACCATACCGTGATATGCAAAACAACTGAAAAATCTCACTACTGCGTCTATCAAGAAATTATGCGGAAAGAGTACCAGCAACACAATTTGACTGCATTTATTACCATTACGCTGTCATCTCCCTTGGAATTTTTCTGAAAATAGTCAAGAAATACATTTTTAATTGAGATGATCTTACGAAGTAAAAAAAATTGTAAATTTTATTTGTGTAATTTGTGATCCACGGGAAATGGTTGATAAATCTAATTACAGAGGGTAAGCTTCATAACAAGCACAAGGTACAGGTAAAAACACCTCGTCGGCTTAATTACCTATCATTTGGCCCTAGGAATCCGATATTAAAACATCACTTTATAAATCGGTTTAGAAAAACTGAACAGGCCATAAATGAGCTGATGACTCAAAAATGCATTGTGTTGCAACAAAGGGAAAATAAACTAATAATAATAATAATAATAATAATAATAATAATAATAATAAATGTTAACCTTAAAACATATTGATGGTAAATCCGTGTCAAGAAAATTCACAAAATAAGATATATATGATTTATTTTTATATGGTAGATTTTCGACAGAGATAGTGTTCATGGTATAGAGTGGTGCTGCTTGACGTTATATTACACAAGAAAACGAGCGAGAATCGGCGTGATGTTGAGCTAACCTTTTAGCAATAAAGGTGAAGTTCAATTCGCCGTGAATGTTGTTTTGAAATACAAATACACATATATGTGACACACAAAACTTGGCGAATGTTGCGCATAAGAGCAAACGTCTACAGAACTTAAAAGAATGTAATCGGAAAATCATCCGTGGATAAATTCCGTCGGTTTTTATTTTTTGGCGCACAACGTTAGCTTGCCTACCAATATATGTATTTCTGACAGCTCGATTGTACCCTTCGGCTACTTCAAATGATAAAGATTAAATCCGACGGGATTTTCATCTCCGGGGTCAGGCGAATAAACTGACGTTCGCCAAACAGCGACAGTTGCTGGCAGGTCAACGGATAGCCACGCCGCGGAGGCCTATGTAAGCCCACCGGCGTTTTGTTACTTGGGCAGGTGCAAACTGCGCGGTTGTCATTTAATTCGCTTGCATGTTTCTTAAGAAATGTCTTTATTTCGAAGTATGCTTTGTATTTATAACGCAGCTCTGGTAATCATTATGAACCCATCCCTTAACTGTTCCGTCTTATCTTCATGGTAGCAGCCTTCAGCATACACGCCGTGTTACAGTTGTTACCACTGATGCTGGCAAACTTCATGCCCGCGGCGCCTGTGTCACAATTCACGGGGTATGTCCCAGTCAGGTGCCAGCGGACACAGTCATTATACCACCATCCACCACCTGGAAATAAGTTATTTTGATACGTTGTATAATGTGTATTTTTTTAAAATATATTTTGTCAGTTGGTTCTATCATGTGTGGCCACCTATCGGTAAATAAAAGAGTTGCCCTTTAGACAGAATGAGAGTTTCACGTCATACAGCATAAATGAAGCCCATGTTCAGAACTTAAAACAGTCGCTTTCGTCAGCCACAAAGACTCATTATAGATATTTGCTTAACACCATAATTAATGGATCCATATAGATAAATACTGGTAGGTAGGCTGATAGGAAACAAGAAAGGGCAATTAAAATCACGTAAAACGTTTCATAAAAAGAGGTCGCGAAAGTCGCTATGAAGAATTGTAATATTTCTTAATTCATGTTTGATAAATGTTAGGATTGTACATGTATTATATTTACCGTGTAAAGCAGAACACGTATTCCCAATATCATTGTCGTAGGTGCCAAACTGCCAGCCCAGATTCTCCACCAAATATGAATTGGTCGAAGTGTTGTAAGACTCCACCGTTATAGCATTGATCGCATATCTGTCTGCCTCGGCACCAATCCGAAACAAGTTCCACTTGACGTAGTAATAGTTTCCATCGCAGGATTTCATATCAATCTGCATGGAATAATTGCCTTGATTGGTCAGCCCATAGAGAGCCTCGTTTCCGAGCCAGAATTGGTCACGAGGGTCTCCAAAACCATCTCTGTATTCGTTCCAAGTTCGATGGAAATCCACCTGATTATCTGTTCTTCTCAAGACAACAAGCCATCCGTTGTCGCAGTAGACGGTTTTTTGGCCGAAACCGGATATGTCTATGTTGAGTAATCCTGTTGTCTCTGCGAGGAAAATTGGCGATAAAATAAATATGTGAACTTATAAGGGATTTTCTTTATCTTATTAGTTTTCCAGTGAGCTAATTATTTAAAGTGGGATAATTGTTAATAGCTTGCATCCTTTTTAGAAACGTATCATCACCATCCTTCTACGTTTTTTTTTCTATGAAGGAAAACTGCAAGAAATGCTAGGCATCGTTTCTTTAAATCTAAAAACATGGCATAAGTCAAATCAAATGGGGTCTGAAAACGTAAACTTATTGGGTACTGCTGAACACATATAAAGATAAAGAGACAAAACTGGCCCNATCCGCTCTGCGTAAATCAATATTTGGATTGTTTTAGAGTTGACAAAAGAAGCCTGTTTTAAAAATGGAAAAATGATCTTAGGTTCAACTACGAACGATTCCGCTTTAAGGGGAATCGATAGGGTGGAATTTTTTTTTCCTTAAGTGTATAGATAATGCTGAAATAAAAAAAAATGTTATGAAAAGAAATAATAGAGTGGCATCAAACTGTAATCGGTGTGAAATCAATAAGTCTTAATAACATTATTTCGGGGTTTAATTAATGTGATATTAATTTCAAAAAGATGTCCGTCAACTGAACAGCTACCAACAGCATGTATCGCCTAATTATTGTCACAACAATAAGCACTACAATCCTGTGCCAGGAAATTTTCTTGAAAGGCCTACATCTGCTTCACAAGTATAAAGGCTAAACGATGCCTTTTTTTACGAAACATCGTAATTAAGGGTTCAAATCTCAGAATAGAACAATAACTTTAAAAGAAAAGCTGGCACTGTATTGTAGATCACGCTCTTGTCGTCAACCATGCCAATTTTCATGATAATATATTTGTTAGATACCTCGGCAACCGCTCACTATCTCACACCATTTTACAAAGCATCGAAATTGACCATTTACGTTTGTCCACCCCATGTGCAGAGGCAACAAATAGAAGCTCGTGAGTAAAAGTGTTTATGTTAATTACATTAATAGTAAGGCAAATATTACCCAGAAAAACGGGAAAAAGCTGTTTCCACATGAAGGTCCACATTACGTATCGATCACCCCTAACGTTCTTTTGTAAAGTTGAGCCTCATTTTATAAACGGCTGAAGTCAGATATTTAACTGAAGCATTAATGTTTTAAGGCCACCCGTAGGGCAGATTAATAATATACTGTTTACGAAGAACAACTATACATCGATCTATACACTGGCTATGCTAATTCCTGCCAGAGGCCTTGTCTTTAAAATACAATTTTGTAACAGCTAGAGTCCCAGGGGCGGATCCAGTATTATTTTAAGGGGGGGTCCAGTTTTTTTAAGAATAACAGGCCTCTGATGCGAAGCCGACCCTTGTTCCCTTGGTGTGGGGTTCTGTGTTTTGGGGGGCAAACGGTGCCATTTGATGCAGTTTAGAACTATGATTCAGCCCTTCACAATTCTAATATTAACAGGGAAATATTGGTGTGATTTTTTTCCAGAAACCGAAGGGGGGATATGAGGACCCCCTGAAACCCCCTTAATCCGCCACTGAGTCCTCTTGTAGACAGTAAGCTATTTCTGACTTTTACGTAATACGCTCACTATGCTCATCTTAATGACCAACTTCTGTTTTGTCTTGTGACAAAAATTGACGGAATGGTCGTTTTCTTAATGTCGTGACCCAAATTTTGCTTAAACTATTTCGATGTAAAGTGAGATTAGTAAGTCAACCGGCCAGTACTCACGGCATGGTAAGTTGCCTCTTCTTTCTGACTGAGCTGGACGGCTTCAACATCATTAGCCACCTGAGAGTTGAGTTCACAGGCTCCTGTTTTAAAATAAATAAATAAATAAATAAATAAATAAATAAATAAATAAATAAATAAATAAATAAAATAAATTGAAAGTGCAATAGTCTGTTACCATAAAATTGCTAGCAGAACAGAAATCCGTAAAAGATTATGGGATTGGGATGTCGTCAACCCAACTAATAATAATATAATAATAATGTACGCTGTAAGTGTTTTGTTTGGATAAGATATTCATCTATTTATTTTTATTTTTTGTTTTTGTGATTTATGCCTAGTATTTAAGGGCCAGTGCAACCTTGAATTTTCTCTCTCTTGGGGAAGCATGCAGCCCAAGCAACTTCATCTGAAGCGCTCAGAATTATACCTATCGCTCGGCATTATCATGCACAATAACCAGAACTACTATACGACCACGTCTTGACTTCACTTTTCAATAAATAACTTTTTGTCAAAATAAATAAATGAATAAGAGTTCATGGTGTATAAGGATGTGATGAAGAGCAATCTTTTGAGCACACCGCACCCTGAGTAGACTGTGCTATCTCTCTGCGTTTGTGTGCAGTCTGCTTTACCAACGGCATCCAGCTGTGGTAAGATTATCGAGCACACAGTGTGACTACTCTGTGACAATATTAACACTGGTAATAGGCACATTTCAGGCAGTTTCTACAGGTATTTCATTGATTCTTGCTAATGTTAGCATGTTTTGAATGGCGTTCCGTTTATCTATCTACAAACTGATGGATTTATTGAATGCGGCGATAAAGTTCTTCTTATATTTTTATTCATTGTAATTAGAGGCTCATAACTCCAGGACATAACAAATTAAACCAAATTGACGGCTCAGGATTGGCACTCATACACTTTTCGTCACCTATGCCAATTTTCGCGATGAGATCTTCTTTAAAGATTTATTTACGCCCCATACCGAATGCTTTCTTACCTCAAAATTGAAAGCTATACATTGACAATGAACACTAAGAAATGCTTACATGTATGTTAATGCTTAGCAATTAGACATATAAACATCAATATTTTAAAATTTCGAGGGGAGTTTAATTTTTTTAATCAGCAAAAAGGTATATTCATTAATGCATCATCCACAAAATAAAACAAACTCTGTCAGTAACCTTAATCAAGGACGTTTGAATTGTCGACCATAAAGCTGATACTAAAACCTCTAAACGCTGATGACCATTTGCATTTGAAATCCAGTTCTATCATAATGTTCAGAAACCGGTGAAGTCACCATTTAGATTTTTTAGGATCATCAGTTACTATTCGTGAACCACCTTTTGAAATGCATGTTGTCAACTTGAAACACGAAGAACTGCAGTTTTTGTGTTCAAGCTTCTGACTATTATGGAAGAGTTTTCCAGCTGAATTTTGAATACGTGAAGATTGGCGTTTTTTTTCCTAGTCTGATCCCTGGCAGTAAGGTATTCTAAACAAGAGGCCAATGCAGTAAACTAGTGTAGAAGCCAGGAAGGCATTGGCGAGTCTCCGGTTGCATACTACCAATGGGATAAAGCACTTTGGCGTTGGTGGGTACAGTATGATGATCAACACAATATGTGTGTTATGTTACCTCACACCTACAGTACAAAGTTACAGCCAAATTTTTAACTCCTGTGCTAAGTTTGATAACAGAACCTCCAACTAAGACTGCATTCCCACAGATTTTAGATCGATCTATCCCCGTGGGGAGTCTCACTAGATTACTGTCAGCTTAGCCGGCTTAAATATCTGTCCCGCCTGCTAAAAGTTGTAAGGGGGTAATTAACTTCCATGCGCGCTCGGCTGACAGCAATTTAGCGTGAACACCAAGGGAGTTAGGTCGATCCAGATGGATCGATCTAATTCTGCGGTAATGCAGTCTAAGATGCTTTTTTTTTTGCATTATAGCACGGAACAGTGGTGGGAAGACGGACAGGTGAATTGATGAACATATTCGATATCTTATTTTCTAGTTCAGTGTGCTTCAGTTGTCACCCAGAACAATAAAGAATCAATAATTCTGCATCACGTATACTTCTATCTACTGTAAAGACAGACCTGTGCTGAGATTATCCACTGTTCAGTTGCTGATGGCAATGTTCTGAAACGTTTGTCTTGTGCCAAGAATGCCAACGTCAACTATACCGCTTTGAATATAAACAAGATAATTTTGTGTATCAAATTAAAGCGTTTTGGTCAACTCATTGATACTGTACAAGCTGATAATTGCCAAATAGTTAAAACAAGATTCATGGTGAATCATATTAAATGACGAGATCACACGTAAAATCGTAATTGATGCTCGCTTTCACGTTTATTTTTGCCTTGAAATGGCAACACCAAATATTGAACCAAAACACAGTGTAGTGCACAGTTTATTTAATGACAGGGAAATTAAAAGTGAACGTTGTTTTAGTATCGGAGGTAATCGATGAACACTATCACTTTATGTTCCAATGGAGTATTCATTTTTCTACATTTTACCTTTGACTTTAATCAATCGAGCTAATTCGCTTTTATTTGGCCACCTTGTTTCGTTGCTGTGTCAGTCTTCCGTTGTACAAGGGGTAAAAATGCTGATTTGAAAACATGCTCGTCATGTATGATAAAGCTAATGTTTGATACGTCTACTATGACGATAGCACTAGCATTCGATCATATAGTTAAAAGATAAACAGAACTAAGAGACAGAAGTATGAGGCAAATGACGACAAAAAACATCTGCCATGCTCCATTTTTGTCTTGGTATTTTCTAATGTAGTTCTCAATTTTGAATGCTGTACAATAACAGAGTGAGTAACTCACGGAGGCAAACGACAGTTGCGGTTAAAAAAACTCTCTCTCTCTCTCTCTCTCTCTCTCTCTCTCAATTGGCGTAGAATCTTGGAAGCGCGGTGATGGCACTCCCCACACTAATGTTTGATTGCCAAATGCATGCCAAAGCTCAGGGCTGAGGAAACTTCATCTATCTCTACTCTTCCGCGTTATATTTCCATATTTCCCTGGGTCTGCCTTTTCGCCTCACACTTTCAACTTTGCTTGGAATCATAACCTATAACGTATGCAGTCCTGCATCATATTCCACGTCCCAGTTATTAAATCTGTACAACGTGGACCGGTTCGTTTTTTGGTTCGATAAAAATGCAGTGAAGATTATTCGAAACATGTTACGTGTTTTTTAAACGTGATCGAGTCAGTCGTGGATCCATTGCTCTGGTAGAGATTTTACGATTGCTTATATTAAAAAGATATACGCTCAAATCAGTTTTTGTTATGAGACACTGTTAATATCAAAATTAATTATACAGCTGCCTACAGATTTGCCGCTACATAAAAAGTGGAAGACTCCTCTCTCTGTCAGTTTTCAGGCGCTGGTAACGAATACACTGCCTTGCATACGGTCTCAGCCATCTTTCAATAAAAGGTACACGAATGATCGCACAAAAGACACAGATACGGACAGACAGACAATACAGATTAAACTGAAAGAAAACACTCAAACAAATGTTTTGGTGATAAGATATTAACCATCAACACGGAGGAGGTAATAAAATGTTTTCAGATGCTTTTGCCACGAAAAAAAAAANAGGGTACCCTGGAATAGCCAACAAGCTGTACCCTGCGTTCCACTTGTCTAAAAAGGCAAATCTGAGGACGTGTTTCATTTTCATTTATTTATTTATTTATTTATTTATTTATTTATTTATTTATTTATTTTACAGCGCCCCTTGCTGCAGGAACACATAGTCTACAGTCTACTACGTGGGTATCTAGGAAAACAAGATTACCTTCAGCTGGAACTACCCTAGGTTCTAGATTTTGGTATTGCCAGCTCGATCTTGTTTTCATGTATAACCCTCATCAGCACTGTAAAGCTAACATATGAAAAGGTATAGTGACAAAGCTACTGTAAGTTTATAGTGCCTAAATAGTCAGGGTAGCTGGAACGAAACCCTGGGTAAAAGTTCAAGACAACTTTATTAATTTATTCCACCTTGCATGATACTGCACGATAACTGCACAATTGGACGATGTTTTCATTAATATAATATTTTTGTAATGAGTGGCTGATTAAGAAAATGGTTATGGTATTTTTTTCGTGCTTTTTCTGCAATTTGTAATCTATTTTATTCCTTCATTATTGATCTTTGAACGCAGCAAATTGCAAAGTACAATTTCCCAGTGAATAATAAATCCGTTCCTTCGTTTATATTTTCAAATTACGCAACAAAAATGAATAATCATACAATAAATATAATTTGGGTGAATCATAATAGCACTGTTCATTACATCAATAGCAGACATCGTCAATTATATAAAAACATTACGAGAGATAGATAGGTAAGTAAATAATAGTTTTTAAAAGCTTAATTATCATGAATGATGTCAATTGTACGTGCTTTGTAGAAATGTACATGTTCACTGTCCACCGTGAAATTGCGTCTTTCACCATTTTTCTTCGTACCCTTCTACACCTTCAAATGAATTGATCATGGAATTATTAGTTAAAAGTAGAATACAATCGTCTGTCCAGGATGAACAAAAAAAAAAAATAAATAAATAAATAAATAAATAAATAAATAAATTAATTAATTAATTAATAATTGCACGAGGTTCAGATACTAAGTCAAAGCGATGTGTCGCGCTGCTGGTGTACCAACCATTTCAACGTGTGTGTTGGGACGACTTCGATTTCTGCTGCTTGGTTATTTTGCTTCGGCCTTTCGATGTACAGTTAATGTTGCTCCAATTATACATAATATATGTTGGATAATCTGCTTGACATTCGTAGCGAGCAAAGGGCAATATTTTATAACAAAAAAATGTATCTTTAAATCATTCTGATTTCAACATTACAACAAATTAATATTTCCAGTATAGGGATTAATTTTATAATGCTGTATTAATTTAATTAAAAAAAAAGATCACTCAAGGCAAAGCACATGTAGTTAACCCTGACGGTGCACAAGTCGGGGGCGATTTTTGGAAGCTGAAATCTTATCTTAAATAATGTTAACCTTAACGATAACATTGCTTGTAAGACCGGACTATAATACAGTCAGTAAAGGTAGCTTGTCGTTGAAGTTAAACCTGACCGACCCCAATAAAGATTCCTTCAAGCAAACATGCTCGCAGACAGTGGCATAGGTTAACTTTACCTGTGCCATATTGAATTTGATTTGAATATTGCTGATTTATTTACTGAAAACAGGCGTAGGCCCTAATATAACACATATGCCAATACCTACAGACTACAGTTATTTCTGATATCCTGTTCTCTTCAGTTGTTGCTTACATTCCCTCTTCCATCACTAATTTCTTACTGTAATCCTTTTAAATTGAATTTAAGAAAACAGACTGAAACAAAGTCGCTGCACGGTTCGCTTGCCAGGTAGCAAATGTGCGTATGACAGAGACATGGTTCATATAAAGTGACGTCAACCCCACTTCCTGCCGAACCTGCGTGTACAATGTTGTCAATTTCAAATCCCTAAAGCAAGTTGTCCCTGGAAAAATTTTAGTCACTCTTCCTACATGTAGGTCTTGACCTTGTTTTGCACTAAGGTCACTCAAACATTGAAATGAATACTGTATTGTCATCTACTATCATACCGTGATATGCAAAACAACTGAAAAATCTCACTACTGCGTCTATCAAGAAATTATGCGGAAAGAGTGCCAGCAACACAATTTGACTGCATTTATTACCATTACGCTGTCATCTCCCTTGGAATTTTTCTGAAAATAGTCAAGAAATACATTTTTAATTGAGATGATCTTACGAAGTAAAAAAAATTGTAAATTTTATTTGTGTAATTTGTGATCCACGGGAAATGGTTGATAAATCTAATTACAGAGGGTAAGCTTCATAACAAGCACAAGGTACAGGTAAAAACACCTCGTCGGCTTAATAACCTATCATCCCCAGAAATGAACTGCATGACGTCACGCTTACCCCACTGCGCATGCGTGTATTTTTAATGAGTTGCTAGATTGCCATAGGAGAATAAATGGGTTCGTGATTCGTGGGTAATTCGTGATAATTGACAAACTAACGGCCTGATGCCGATAGACAGCAACGATGTGCTATGCTTCAAGCAACTCCTGACCAAATATCGCTAGGGTTTTTAAAAAAATTCTGTTGTACACACGCACTAAGAAGTTTGCCGTATATTGCCTAGACTACCCTCAGCAAAACGCAAATATTTTCAGTAATAGTGATTTTAGACGGTAGATTCACTCAGAAACAAAGGGAAATTAATTCGTTGCCGATAGCACCAGCTGATAGCAGTAACATACAGAGTCTGATTAAAAAAATTCATGGCAATTGAAGATGTTTTACCACTGTACAATGGAGTCCAAAAAGAGCACTTGGCACAAATGTAAAACTGCCCAGTGCAAGGCCAAGAATTCAATCAGTATTTTCAATCATGTTATCAGATTCTACATAAATTGACTGACCATATCACTACTCAGTATTTAACTAATCTCTTAATCCAAAATTCCTATCATCATTTAATAATTATGCAAAATTCTTCTTTCAGATTGCTATTTATTTAAATTTTTAATGCTGCAACTGTTCCAAAATAATCTTGTAGTAAAGGAAAAATGCAAATAAGAAGTGGAAGACCAATTTTACCCACATTATTCAATTATTTGAATATAAAAAGAATAAGATCACGATTTAACAAATTAAAATAATCTTTCATGAACTCTTTCATGAATAACATATTAAACAAAATTAAAGTTATATATTAGTGTTAATGGCTTATTCTGGAATATATGACCTCTGTACATCAGTACCTGACTTGGTACATTATAGTTACTACTTGGATACAGAGTTAGATTTAATAATGTAACAATAAGAACAATATATATTATAATAATAAACTTCTCTGCACATATCAGACGCTTGTTACCATTAACTAACACTACTTGACAATGGGCTGAGCACTTATCACAGAGCCTGTGTGCGATGCCATTCTTGCGCTGTGATTGGTTAGTTGAGTCACGTGAAGCCCTACTTTTGCGCCCTCGCGTATCGCGTAAATGCTGCACATTTCTGGCCATGCATTTGGCCCTAGGAATCCGATATTAAAACATCACTTTATAAATCGGTTTAGAAAAACTGAACAGGCCATAAATGAGCTGATGACTCAAAAATGCATTGTGTTGCAACAAAGGGAAAATAAACTAATAATAATAATAATAATAATAATAATAATAATAATAATAATAATAAATGTTAACCTTAAAAGATATTGATGGTCAACCCGTGTCAAGAAAATTCACAAAATAAGATATATATGAATTATTTTTATATGGTAGATTTTCGACAGAGATAGTGTTCATATGGTATAGAGTGGTGCTGCTTGACAACATATTACACAAGAAAACGAGCGAGAATCCGCGTGATGTTGAGCTAACCTTTTAGCAATAAAGGTGAAGTTCAATTCGCCGTGAATGTTGTTTTGAAATACAAATACACATATATGTGACACACAAAACTTGGCGAATGTTGCGCATAAGAGCAAACGTCTACAGAACTCAAAAGAATGTAATCGGAAAATCATCCGTGGATAAATTCCGTCGGTTTTTATTTTTTGGCGCACAACGTTAGCTTGCCTACCAATATATGTATTTCTGACAGCTCGATTGTACCCTTCGGCTACTTCAAATGATAAAGATTAAATCCGACGGGATTTTCATCTCCGGGGTCAGGCGAATAAACTGAAGTTCGCCAAATAGCGACAGTTGCTCGCAGGTCAACGGATAGCCACGCCGCGGAGGCCTATGTAAGCCTACCGGCGTTTTGTTACTTGGGCAGGTGCAAACTGCGCGGTTGTCATTTAATTCGATCGCTTGCATCTTTCTTAAGAAATGTCTTTATTTCGAAGTATGCTTTGTATTTATAACGCAGCTCTGGTAATCATTATGAACCCATCCCTTAACTGTTCCGCCTTATCTTCATGGTAGCAGCCTTCAGCATACACGCCGTGTTACAGTTGTTACCACTGATGCTGGCAAACTTCATGCCCGCGGCGCCTGTGTCACAATTCACGGGGTATGTCCCAGTCAGGTGCCAGCGGACACAGTCGTTATACCACCATCCACCACCTGGAAATAAGTTATTTTGATACGTTGTATAATGTGTATTTTTTTAAAATATATTTTGTCAGTTGGTTCTATCATGTGTGGCCACCTATCGGTAAATAAAAGAGTTGTCATTTAGACAGAATGAGAGTTTCACGTCATACAGCATAAATGAAGCCCATGTTCAGAATTTAAAACAGTCGCTTTCGTCAGCCACAAAGACTCATTATAGATATTTGCTTAACACCCATAATAATAGGATCCATATAGATAAATACTGGTAGGTAGGCTGATAGGAAACAAGAAAGGGCAATTAAAATCACGTAAAACGTTTCATAAAAAGAGGTCGCGAAAGTCGCTATGAAGAATTGTAATATTTCTTAATTCATGTTTGATAAATGTTAGGATTGTACATGTATTATATGTATTATATTTACCGTGTAAAGCAGAACACGTATTCCCAATATCATTGTCGTAGGTGCCAAACTGCCAGCCCAGATTCTCCACCAAATATGAATTGGTCGAAGTGTTGTAAGACTCCACCGTTATAGCATTGATCGCATATCTGTCTGCCTCGGCACCAATCCGAAACAAGTTCCACTTGACGTAGTAATAGTTTCCATCGCAGGATTTCATATCAATCTGCATGGAATAATTGCCTTGATTGGTCAGCCCATAGAGAGCCTCGTTTCCGAGCCAGAATTGGTCACGAGGGTCTCCAAAACCATCTCTGTATTCGTTCCAAGTTCGATGGAAATCCACCTGATTATCTGTTCTTCTCAAGACAACAAGCCATCCGTTGTCGCAGTAGACGGTTTTTTGGCCGAAACCGGATATGTCTATGTTGAGTAATCCTGTTGTCTCTGCGAGGAAAATTGGCGATAAAATAAATATGTGAACTTATAAGGGATTTTCTTTATCTTATTAGTTTTCCAGTGAGCTAATTATTTAAAGTGGGATATGTTAATAGCTTGCATCCTTTTTAGAAACGTATTATCACCATCCTTCTACGTTTTTTTTTCTATGAAGGAAAACTGCGAGAAATGCTAGGCATCGTTTCTTTAAATCTAAAAACATGGCATAAGTCAAATCAAATGGGGTCTGAAAACGTAAACTTATTGGGTACTGCTGAACACATATAAAGATAAAGAGACAAAACTGGTCCAGAAAATTGCCAATTGCCTTTTTTATACATTTCATATAGAAAGGGATGCAACAAATACAAATATTACAATGGTGATGTCGTCAGTGGGTGTACTTACCGACGTCATTGCAGTCGACGTAGAGAGCCTGTAACAATGAAATATGTTTTAGTATTCATTTTGATTTTCATACCCACTATCCTACCCTAGCTGAGATGTGTTGATGGTCAATTGAGAAACATCATTTAATTTTTTTTTTTTGGGGGGGGGGGGCAGCGCTAGTTGCAACTGCCTACTCGATTTGTCGATTCCCTTTAATTCACTGCGTTTGGGATATTTGCCGAGGAACAATTAACAAAAAAAGTAATTGAATTTTTACATCCGCTCTGCGTAAATCAATATTTCGATTGTTTTAGAGTGGACAAAAAAGCCTGATTTAAAAATGGAAAAATGATCTTAGGTTCAACTACGAACGATTCCTCTTTAAGGGGAATCGATAGGGTGGAATTTTTTTTCCTTAAGTGTATAGATAATGCTGAAATAAAAAAAAATGTTATGAAAAGAAATAATAGAGTGGCATCAAACTTTAATCGGTGTGAAATCAATAAGTCTTAATAACATTATTTCGGGGTTTAATTAATGTGATATTAATTTCAAAAAGATGTCCGTCAACTGAACAGCTACCAACAGCATGTATCGCCTAATTATTGTCACAACAATAAGCACTACAATCCTGTGCCAGGAAATTTTCTTGAAAGGCCTACATCTGCTTCACAAGTATAAAGGCTAAACGATGCCTTTTTTTTTAGGAAACATCGTAATTAAGGGCTCGAATCTCAGAAGAGCTGGCACTGTATTGTAGATCACGCTCTTGTCGTCAACCATGCCAATTTTCATGATAATATATTTGTTAGATACCTCGGCAACCGCTCACTATCTCACACCATTTTACAAAGCACCGAAATTGACCATTTACGTTTCTCCAGCCCATGTGCAAAGGCAACAAATAGAAGCTCCTGAGTAAAAGTGTTTATGTTAATTACATTAATAGTAAGGCAAATATTACCCAGAAAAACGGGAAAAAGCTGTTTGCCACATGAAGGTCTACACTACGTATCGATCACCCCGAACGTTCTTTTGTAAAGTTGCGCCTCATTTTATAAACGGCTGAAGTCAGATATTTAACTTAAGCATTAATGTTTTAAGGCCACCCGTAGGGCAGATTAATAATATACTGTTTACGAAGAACAACTATACATCGATCTATACACTGGCTATGCTAATTCCTGCCAGAGGTCTTGTCTTTAAAATACAGTTTTGTAACAGCTAGAGTCCCAGGGGCGGATCCAGTATTATTTTAAGGGGGGGGGGGGGTCCAGTTTTTTTTAAGAATAACAGGCCTCTGATGCGAAGCCGACCCTTGTTCCCTTGGTGTGGGGTTCCGTGTTTTGGGGGGCAAACGGTGCCATTTGATGCAGTTTAGAACTATGATTCAGCCCTTCACAATTCTAATATTAACAGGGAAATATTGGTGTGTTTTTTTTCCAGAAACCGAAGGGGGGATATGAGGACCCCCTGAACCCCCCTTAATACGCCACTGAGTCCTCTTGTAGAGAGTAAGCTATTTCTGACTTTTACGTAATACGCTCACTATGCTCATCTTAATGACCAACTTCTGTTTTGTCTTGTGACAAAAATTGACGGAATGGTCGTTTTCTTAATGTCGTGACCGGATTTTGCTTAAACTATTTCGATGTAAAGTGAGATTAGTAAGTCAACCGGCCAGTACTCACGGCATGGTAAGTTGCCTCTTCTTTCTGACTGAGCTGGACGGCTTCAACATCATTAGCCACCTGAGAGTTGAGTTCACAGGCTCCTGTTTTAAAATAAATAAATAAATAAATAGTAAAATAAATAGAAAGTGCAATCGTCTGTTACCATAAAATTGCTAGCAGAACAGAAATCCGTAAAAGATTATGGGATTGGGATGTCGTCAACCCAACTAATAATAATATAATAATAATGTACACTGTAAGTGTTTTGTTTGGATATGATATTCATCTATTTATTTTTATTTTTTGTTTTTGTGATTTATGCCTAGTATTTAAGGGCCAGTGCAACCTTGAATTTTCTCTCTCTTGGGGAAGCATGCAGCCCAAGCAACTTCATCTGAAGCGCTCAGAATTATACCTATCGCTCGGCATTATCATGCACAATAACCAGAACTACTATACGACCACGTCTTGACTTCACTTTTCAATAAATAACTTTTTGTCAAAATAAATAAATGAATAAGAGTTCATGGTGTATAAGGATGTGATGAAGAGCAATCTTTTGAGCACACCGCACCCTGAGTAGACTGTGCTATCTCCCTGCGTTTGTATGCAGTCTGCTCAACAAACGGCAACCGGTTTTGGTAAGATTATCGAGCACAAAGTGTGACTACTCTGTGACAATATTAACACTGGTAATAGGCACATTTCAGGCAGTTTCTACAGGTATTTCATTGATTCTTGCTAATGTTAGCATGTTTTGAATGGCGTTCCGTTTATCTATCTACAAACTGATGGATTTATTGAATGCGGCGATAAAGTTCTTCTTATATTTTTATTCATTGTAATTAGAGGCTCATAACTCCAGGACATAAAAATTAAACCAAATTGACGGCTCAGGATTGGCACTCATACACTTTTCGTCACCTATGCCAATTTTCGCGATGAGATCTTCTTTAAAGATTTATTTACGCCCCATACCGAATGCTTTCTCACCTCAAAATTGAAAGCTATACATTGACAATGAACACTAAGAAATGCTTACATGTATGTTAATGCTTAGCAATTAGACATATAAACATCAATATTTTAAATTTCGAGGGGAGTTTAATTTTTTAATCAGCAAAAAGGTATATTCATTAATGCATCATCCACAAAATAAAACAAACTCTAAAACCCTGTCAGTAACCTTAATCAAGGACGTTTGAATTGTCGACCATAAAGCTGATACTAAAACCTCTAAACGCTGATGACCATTTGCATTTGAAATCCAGTTCTATCATATTGTTCAGAAACTGGTGAAGTCACCATTTAGATTTTTTAGGATCATCAGTTACTATTCGTGAACCAACTTTTGAAATGCATGTTGTCAACTTGAAACACGAAGAACTGCAGTTTTTGTGTTCAAGCTTCTGACTATTATGGAAGAGTTTTCCAGCTGAATTTTGAATACGTGTAGATTGGCGTTTTTTTCCTAGTCTGATCCCTGGCAGTAAGGTATTCTAAACAAGAGGCCAATGCAGTAAACTAGTGTAGAAGCCAGGAAGGCATTGGCGAGTCTCCGGTTGCATACTACCAATGGGATAAAGCATTTTGTCGTTGGTAGGTACAGTATGATGATCAACACAATTTGTGTGTTATGTTACCTCACACCTACCAAATTTTTAAACTCCTGTGCTAAGTTTGATAACAGAACCCCCAACTAAGACTGCATTCCCACAGATTTTAGATCGATCTATCCCCGTGGGGAGTCTCACTAGATTACTGTCAGCTTAGCCGGCTTAAATACCTGTCCCGCCTGCTAAAAGCTGTAAGGGGGTAATTAACTTCCATGCGCGCTCGGCTGACAGCAATTTAGCGTGAACACCAAGGGAGTTAGGTCGATCCAGATGGATCGATCTAATTCTGCGGTAAGGCAGTCTAAGATGCTTTTTTTTTTTGCATTATAGCACGGAACAGTGGTGGGAAGACGGACAGGTGAATTGATGAACATATTCGATATCTTATTTTCTAGTTCAGTGTGCTTCAGTTGTCACCCAGAACAATAAAGAATCAATAATTCTGCATCACGTATACTTCTATCTACTGTAAAGACAGACCTGTGCTGAGATTATCCACTGTTCAGTTGCTGATGGCAATGTTCTGAAACGTTTGTCTTGTGCCAAGAATGCCAACGTCAACTATACCGCTTTGAATATAAACAAGATAATTTTGTGTATCAAATTAAAGCGTTTTGGTCAACTCATTGATACTGTACAAGCTGATAATTGCCAAATTGTTAAAACAAGATTCATGGTGAATCATATTAAATGACGAGATCACACGTAAAATCGTAATTGATGCTCAATTTCACGTTTATTTTTGCCTTGAAATGGCAACACCAAATATTGAACCAAAACACAGTGTAGTGCACAGTTTATTTAATGACAGGGAAATTAAAAGTGAACGTTGTTTTAGTATCGGAGGTAATCGATGAACACTATCACTTTATGTTCCAATGGAGTATTCATTTTTCTACATTTTACCTTTGACTTTAATCAATCGAGCTAATTCGCTTTTATTTGGCCACATTGTTTCGTTGCTGTGTCAGTCTTCCGTTGTACAAGGGGTAAAAATGCTGATTTGAAAACATGCCCGTCATGTATGATAAAGCTAATGTTTGATACGTCTACTATGACGATAGCACTAGCATTCGATCATATAGTTAAAAGATAAACAGAACTAAGAGACAGAAGTATGAGGCAAATGACGACAAAAAACATCTGTCATGCTCCATTTTTGTCTTGGTATTTTCTAATGTAGTTCTCAATTTTGAATGCTGTACAATAACAGAGTGAGTAACTCACAGAGGCAAACGACAGTTGCGGTTAAAAAAACTCTCTCTCTCTCTCTCTCAATTGGCGTAGAATCTTGGAAGCGCGGTGATGGCACTCCCCACACTAATGTTTGATTGCCAAATGCATGCCAAAGCTCAGGGCTGAGGAAACTTCATCTATCTCTACTCTTCAGCGTTATATTTCCATATTTCCCTGGGTCTGCCTTTTTGCCTCACACTTTCAACTTTGCTGGGAATCATAACCTATAACGTATGCAGTCCTGCATCATATTCCACGTCCCAGTTATTACATCTGTACAACGTGGACCGGTTCGTTTTTTGGTTCGATAAAAATGCAGTGAAGATTATTCGAAACATGTTACGTGTTTTTTAAACGTGATCGAGTCAGTCGTGGATCCATTGCTCTGGTAGAGATTTTACGATTGCTTATATTAAAAAGATATACCTCAAATCAGTTTTTGTTATGAGACACTGTTAATATCAAAATTAATTATACAGCTGCCTAAAGATTTGCCGCTACATAAAAAGTGGAAGACTCCTCTCTCTGTCAGTTTTCAGGCTCTGGTAACGAATACACTGCCTTGCATACGGTCTCAGCCATCTTTCAATAAAAGGTACACGAATGATCGCACAAAAGACACAGATACAGACAGACAGACAATACAGATTAAACTGAAAGAAAACACTCAAACAAATGTTTTGGTGATAAGATATTAACCATCAACACGGAGGAGGTAATAAATGTTTTCAGATGCTTTTGCCACGAAAAAAAAAACCAATGACAACTATCCACTAGAAGCTGTGGTTATTTATTTTGATACCAAAAATTCTGTGCGTTTTCACTTCCCATACAAAATAAAATACATGTAGATCAACAATAACCAAATCTATACTAACATGAACCAATAAAGAAAATCCTATTTTATCAACCCCATGTAATTCCATACCTGTACCATCTCCAAAGTAGTTACAAGAATGGCATCCCTCTTTTTGTTTGCAAAGTGTCATACACTCAAGAGAACTGCGAGCTGAAACAGTATTGAGAGCTGAAACCGGCAGGTACGCGTTCTTGGTAGATTTGAAAGTCACGCTGGTCACCTGTGTGTGTCCCTGTTGTGACATCAATTGGATTATTCCGGCCAAAAACAGCGCGTGAAGAACATATGAGCCGCGGGAGTCCATTGCTGTCTTCCACTGGACGTCTGGTTCGGACTAGTGTTGGCGATCGAAGATTAGGTAACTGCATACAGTCGCCGTAAAGCCAAGCGGTGGAGCAGGTAATCAACAAAATATTTACAGGAAACAAACTTTGTCACGAATTGATATGAAGGACATCGACTTTTTACGAACGAGTCGAGTGGTGTAACATAAGGTGATATTGCTTAAGGGCTGTTTACGATAACATATGTCATCCACACACTCGGTATGATCATTCACCTCCCTTGTTGTGGCCAATTCGGATTTTGTGCAGTTAATAAGTTCAATGGCCTTTGTGTATCAACGAGGATTTTTTGAATTAATGTTGGTGTCTAGACTCACATCACTAAGCAACGGTAATAATCAAAAGCTGTGTTGTTACTATGTGGCGAGCATTTCAGCGATGCTATTCGATAGTGCATGCACAAGTTCAACCAGTTTGTATTTATAAAATTTATATGAAAGAAGTTCATTTACCAGTACAAAATTCCAGGCATCGATTAGAGTTTGTCTGAGTTGGTTCAGATTTGTCATTTGTCAGTAGACTATTGATTCGTCGAGAATTTAATGCTCGAAGATTTCTATAGGCTCCATATCTGGCGATCATAAGCTGCTCAGTCCTTTGATTCTGCAATTATTCTGGGAATGCAAGTACATGTAGTCTCTGTTTACGGGTATTGTCATCTTGTTATACAGAATTGTCATTGAGGTGCCCCAGGAAGTTCCTGTACTTGACTGGACAGCAATGCTTTGACACACTGGTACAATGCACTCTCAGTTCACGCACTGTACATAGAACCGGTGTAACAGTAATCCAAGTCCCCCAGGAACCGAGGTCCTTCGGACCTCGGTTCCTGGTAGTGGTTGTCTGTAGGACTAACATTNGCCGCTACATAAAAAGTGGAAGACTCCTCTCTCTGTCAGTTTTCAGGCGCTGGTAACGAATACACTGCCTTGCATACGGTCTCAGCCATCTTTCAATAAAAGGTACACGAATGATCGCACAAAAGACACAGATACGGACAGACAGACAATACAGATTAAACTGAAAGAAAACACTCAAACAAATGTTTTGGTGATAAGATATTAACCATCAACACGGAGGAGGTAATAAAATGTTTTCAGATGCTTTTGCCACGAAAAAAAAAACCAATGACAACTATCCACTAGAAGCTGTGGTTATTTATTTTGATACCAAAAATTCTGTGCGTTTTCACTTCCCATACAAAATAAAATACATGTAGATCAACAATAACCAAATCTATACTAACATGAACCAATAAAGAAAATCCTATTTTATCAACCCCATGTAATTCCATACCTGTACCATCTCCAAAGTAGTTACAAGAATGGCATCCCTCTTTTTGTTTGCAAAGTGTCATACACTCAAGAGAACTGCGAGCTGAAACAGTATTGAGAGCTGAAACCGGCAGGTACGCGTTCTTGGTAGATTTGAAAGTCACGCTGGTCACCTGTGTGTGTCCCTGTTGTGACATCAATTGGATTATTCCGGCCAAAAACAGCGCGTGAAGAACATATGAGCCGCGGGAGTCCATTGCTGTCTTCCACTGGACGTCTGGTTCGGACTAGTGTTGGCGATCGAAGATTAGGTAACTGCATACAGTCGCCGTAAAGCCAAGCGGTGGAGCAGGTAATCAACAAAATATTTACAGGAAACAAACTTTGTCACGAATTGATATCAAGGACATCGACTTTTTACGAACGAGTCGAGTGGTGTAACATAAGGTGATATTGCTTAAGGGCTGTTTACGATGAACATATGTCATCCACACACTCGGTATGATCATTCACCTCCCTTGTTGTGGCCAATTCGGATTTTGTGCAGTTAATAAGTTCAATGGCCTTTGTGTATCAACGAGGATTTTTTGAATTAATGTTGGTGTCTAGACTCACATCACTAAGCAACGGTAATAATCAAAAGCTGTGTTGTTACTATGTGGCGAGCATTTCAGCGATGCTATTCGATAGTGCACGCACAAGTTCAACCAGTTTGTATTTATAAAATTTATATGAAAGAAGTTCATTTACCAGTACAAAATTCCAGGCATCGATTAGAGTTTGTCTGAGTTGGTTCAGATTTGTCATTTGTCAGTAGACTATTGATTCGTCGAGAATTTAATGCTCGAAGATTTCTATAGGCTCCATATCTGGCGATCATAAGCTGCTCAGTCCTTTGATTCTGCAATTATTCTGGGAATGCAAGTACATGTAGTCTCTGTTTACGGGTATTGTCATCTTGTTATACAGAATTGTCATTGAGGTGCCCCAGGAAGTTCCTGTACTTGACTGGACAGCAATGCTTTGACACACTGGTACAATGCACTCTCAGTTCACGCACTGTACATAGAACCGGTGTAACAGTAATCCAAGTCCCCCAGGAACCGAGGTCCTTCGGACCTCGGTTCCTGGTAGTGGTTGTCTGTAGGACTAACATTACTTGGGAATAGTAGTCCTACAGGGACGTAGGTTCCTGGCTCATAATTAGAGTAGGTGGGACTTGTATTACTGTCGGACTTTAATTCCTGTTACACCTATGACAGTAATAAAAGTCCGGCCATTTGAAAGTCCTATCCTTAGACAATAATACTGTTAAATGATAAAACTATAAATGTATATGAAATCCTTCTGGTGAGCCATATATCAGACAAAAAATGAGAGGTTTGAAACTTCAGCTCGTCTGTGTAGTGGTAAGCGTGCAAGACCACAAGGTAAGAATTCATGAATCGTTCTGTTGCATCTATGGGTTCGATACCTACCTTTGATATGACCTTAACCCCCCCCCCCTTCCTCTATTTATTACTTATAGCAAAATGTTTAATGGTGTTTTTAATGTCTAATATGTGTTTGAAATTCCGTTCTCATTACATTTATAAATTTTTTGTTTTGTCTTTTAAGTGTCAGAGCACCAAAAAAAGCAAAGGGGTATTACAGAACATTATATACATATATTGCAATTTTCAGTTTCTAAACTGTCTTGATTTGTCTTAAATCTCAGACCATACTTTCAAAGAGCAAATTTACATCGAGTTTGAGGTTATATTTCAATTTCAGCGAGTGTAAACCGATAAATAAATCTAAGAACGGAGATCCCGCGTTTTATGTAAAGTGATTTTTCTCTTAGGAATAAGGTTTTGAAAAAGAGAGAGAGGGAGAGAAAATAAGAATTTCGACGCAAAACACAAAAGGTACACCCCAGTAGAAAATGACATGAAATAATGTACACCGTACATATACCTCAAAGGATGAAAATAAGGGATGCCTTTGGATGGTGCCTTATTGTGTTAAAAAAATATCGGGCAAACCAGGCTCGTACATATTGTGCACTGAGGGAGGAGTACGCCAAAAATATGCATTAAAACACGTCAAAATTTGCTTTTACTAGATGAAAAATACACATAGAATAAATAAATTGTTTTTTTTTTTCTTCACTAATATGCATATAAACTGCCTATCGGAAAACATTGTAAAATATAAAGATAAAATGTCATATAAATAGAATAAAGCAAACGTTTATTATATCTTTAAAACTATTATGTCTCTATATGTATTTATTCGTGTCAATTCTTGGTGTAAACTATATAGGACATGCGTCACTAAAATGTCAGGAACGCACGTCCCATTAGGACGTGCATTACTACACGTAGGACTAACATTACTTGGGAGCCTTTGTCCTACGGACATTGAATCCTAGTAACGTATGTCCTAGGACTTCCATTCCTAGCAATGCATGCCCTAGGACTTGCATTCCCAGGACTTAGTGTCCGGGCGGACTTGCGTTACTAGGACGTGCACGCCTGCCACACCGGCTATATTTGTATGCAAAGATTTGAACGCGTTGGTGAAATATGGAGAATAAACATGCTTTGTCATTCTAAAACCAGTCCAAAAAGAGTACTACCCTAGGAAATTTATCGCAAATTACGTGATGCAGCGCTGCTACGAGCGTATACTGATTCACCAGATTACACAGTTTTATTCACATATCATGCATGAGATATTTTATTATTATTATTATTATTATTATTATTATTATTAATTTTTTTGTAAACAATTCATTTTACCAAGAAAGAATTTAGACTGACATATCCCATATTCAATATCAAGTCTGTAGTGCTTTAACACTACAGACTTGACATTTAATATGGGATATGTTAAAACAATATTAGAGAGCACAAATGATGTCATTCCAGATGTATATACTAGTAGTGAATGCAAAGAAAACGAAATGAATGACACTAGGAGAAAAAAGAAGAATGGACGACATTGTTCTTGAAAAAGAAAAAGAAAGAACTCATCGCCTGTAGACATAATAAAGGTTACAAAGTTGTCATTTGAAGAAATTCTTAATGAAAATTATGACCTTATCATTGATTATCTGCTGCTTGCTTGTGTATATTTTTCATAATTGACACGTGTAACAAAATTATTACTTGCTCCTTCGTAAGTAAATAGCGTCATTCGCACACCGGCCTTCAAATAAGCCATTTAAAAATTTAACTCCCTTAACATGGTTGAAGTCATCGCATTGATTACACCAAATAGAATCAGCTTATGTAACCTCCCTTTTTAGAAATACAACGAAGTACAAAAGTGTGCTTCCCGCTTAACACGTTTATTCAAATCTTCAAACATAAGCAAATAGGGCCAAATGACATTGCCTTAAAGCTTATATATACCAGTATTTGAGCCGTTGCATACACAGTCAGAAAAAAATATATAAAAAAATATAAAAATAAAAAATATAAAATCTGAAATCTGAAGAAAACTAAAATCTGTCAGAAGTACTGAAATCAAAGGCAACGTCCATTTATTATATTTATATGCGCTTTACTGTCTTGGCCGGGCGCACACGTTAACTTCGGTGGCACGTACACAGAGCCGGTGGTACCAACTGGGACCGGAAGCACCTCTCCATCGGGCACGTGGAACGTGAAAGCGTGCACCAAGGCTGTGAGGATCAGGAACATCTCCGGTTTGGCCAGACTCTCTCCT